TAAGTCTATTAAAAATAAATGAGGGAGTACTATATTATCAGTGTGATATTGCATGCATCTTATATAGAGAAGTAGGGTTGTTCATATCTTATCCAATCCGATTAATCTGACGTAAATTGATCCAATTCAATAAAAAACTGAACAAAACCAATATAAAATTAGGTTGGTTTGGATTATAAAATTTTAAAATTGATATAATTTGTTTGGTTTGTAATTTTACCTTCAAACTATCTGAACCACCCGATTACAAAATAAAATCTGATTACACAATAATTTAATTAAATAATATAGTATATTTTTTTGTAATATTTTAAATTTTTTTCTTATTTTATAAGATGATAACTTTATTAAGTTAATTTAAAAATAAAAATAGAATATCTCTATATTCTTTAATTTATTTTCCTTTCTAAATCGTGCACTCTAACTCTAATTCTAAATTTTCAATTCACTTGTAACTCTATTTCTTATAACTAGTCTATGACTCTATTTTGAGAACTTTAAATTTTTAATTTGTTCTTAAAATAATATTCTAATTCTCATAATTAAATTTTAAGAAATATCATTCTAGAAGTCTTAAAACTATATAATAAAACTAAATTTGATATTCTACTATTTTTGGATATTTGGTTAAGAAGTTTTAAATTTTAATTATGAATGCTTCTAATCATTACTAATGACGTTTATGTTAAATTTTAATTACTTTTAATAAGGTTTGGAAGATGGAGTTGAATCATTTGCTGCATTAAGGAAAAAAATTAGTTTTAACATTTAAGAATTACTTATACAGTATTTGAAATTTAAAATTATCTTTTATTATTCTTGATGCCTCTAATGATGTAGTCAAGAAGAATTTTTAAATCTTTTCAATTTTTACAATTGTAAATGAGTATAAAAACTAATTTATAATTTATGCATTTTATTATGTTTCTAGTAATTTGGATATTAATGTATTTTATAGCTATATTTTCTATTTAATGTTAAAATTTTTATGTTATCTCATATATTTAATAGTGTTAAAAACTGATCAATCCGACTGAACCACACCGATCCAATTTAAGTTGAATTGGTTTAAAAATTTTATTAACCGATTAAATTGAATTGGTTTAAAAAATATTAAAATCTGAACCAAACCACATTGCAAGCACCCCTATAGAGAAGTATTAAAAAAAAGAGTTGTCCGCATTCCATTACCCATAAATGAGAAAAAACCAATAGCTAAATTAACTATTCTCTAGATCATGCATATCAAACATGAAGCGTTAATCAAATTTTTGTAATCATTCAATCAACAAAACTGTATTTTCTAACATATATTTAACTGCATAAAGTTTGATGAATCAATGAAATAATTAAACATATTCAATTAATTTGAAAATTGGCATGCCTGATTTGCATGAATAGAACAATTAATCTATTTGTTTTTTTTTTTCAAAATATTAGTTGTACCAAAAATTATGGACTAGTGTAAGTATAAGGATACCTACACTAGTGCAAGTTGATTGTTGAACTCCACCCCTTTATCTTTTATAAATGTCTTTTATTACTTTTTCTTCAATTCCTCTCTGAATCCCTTTCCATTGCTGCAAAAGTTCAGATATAAACTTGGAGGCTAAAGTTCTTTAAGCTTTATTTGGATGATAGTTTATGGTTGATATCTAATAGTTGTTATTTATAAGCTAAAACATTTTTGTTTATTCAATTAGAGACCAACCATTGATAGTTGTTCCCAACAACTAATCCAAAGAGAACCTTAATATCACAACTTAAAGACCTTTAATTATTCAAATTTCAATTAAGTGCTTATAATGATACTCCCTCCATTCCGCTTTAGTAGGCCAAGTTCTTTTTTGTCCAATAGATGTAATAATTTATTGATAAGATTTAGTATTTATCCCTAATTAATCACCACTTAAATTAAGACTTCTTGCAGTTTCATTCCAAATCTTAAGTCATCTATCTTTTAGTAGATATTAGTTAATTTGCCAATTGGATCAACTAAAATACATGTAAGAAACAGAATTTTACTTCTGCCTTATAGTTTCTGAGATCAAATACAAATATTCTATGATCTGAAATGTTAGATGTATAAATTGGGACTCTTGCTTTAATATTGTTAATGTGCTTTCATACTCTTTCATCCTTCTCCCTCCTTTATCTTGCAGTCTCTTGACTGGGAGTCAGGGAAGACTCATTTGTACCATTGTCATGTCTCTGTGGATGGGAAATATAAATTCAAGGTTTGTTCACCTCCTTGATTTCGCATGCATGTGCATGTGATGTGTATGAATGCAAATATTTTGGCAAAAAAAAAAGAAAAAAAAGAATGCATGTATTAACTTCTTTAAGAAATAAAAAGTTTTAACTGAATTTATTGATACTTGTAGAAGTAAAGATTGGAAGCTGATGAGAATAGATTCCATTTAATCCATGGTTTCCAGATTGGAATCCTCTAATTATTGATATATCCTTGTAATGTGAAGTAAATTGCATAGACTTAACCAGTAAATTAAGTAGATTCTGTGAATTGTATTATCTTATTATGTGTTAGATGTATTATCATTTCCGTCCTCTTAATTCCAGGGTCCTTATCTGGATGGGACTAGAACTCATTTACAGAGGGTTCTAGGGGATGATAATGTTTTGATGGTAAAGTTTGCAGAAGATGACCTAGATTCGAAAAACTTCGCAACCAAGGATTATTTTCCTTTGTACAGCAGGGTTGAAAGTGAAGGAATCCCTGTTGGTTTACGCCTTTACCGCTTTTTTGGTGAGTCTAACTCATCACACTTGACAAGAAGAGTTCCTGCTTGTTCTTTCATATGGTTCATAATGATTTGTATGCTGGTTACAACAAAATTGCTAGATAATGAATTCATGTTGGCATTTGTCTATTCAGCCCTTTCATTGAATCTTCTCCATCACTCTTGGCATGATGAGTTTTCAGTTTTCAGTTTTTTATTTTTATTTTTTTGGCCATCAATTTTCAGTTTTTTCTTGCTCTTTCATATAGTTAATAATTCTGGCCAAAAAAAAAAAAAAAGGTTGATAATTGTTGCTGCTGCTGCTGTTATAATGTTAATTTCAAGCCGGTATGTATAAGTTATAATACTAATATTTCATATTAGTCAGTCATATCTATTATTTAGCTGTGCATATCTATGTATAAGTAGTTAAAGTGGAGGAAAAGCATAATTTTGGTTATTATGCATGATTCAGTGGTACATCTCCCCCATTTCTTGTCATGCCTATGAGTTATGAGGAACATACGCATTTCATTAATTTGTTTTTGAGCATGACATCCTAAGGTTCAGTAGTTTACGTGTTTTTATCTTCTTTTATTAGCTCCAAAAGAAAAGGTTTCTAAGTAAGAGCTACTCATACATTTTTTTCTATCTTTTTACCTAGTGCTTTTCTTATCTTTTAGCAGCCCAAGTACCCTAATACCAGAGTCACTGAAGTGCCTCTTGTCTAGTTGTCTATCTTTTCTTTTCTTTGTTATTTTTATTTTTGTTGTTGTGGACCTATTCCCTGGTTTATTTCAGACAATCCAAACCCTATGTCAAAAGGTGGCTTATGTAGGTTTCTTCACAGTTGTTTGCATCTTTGTGAGAAATGGTTGCTCTTTCGTTTCCTAGTTTTGTGGATTGGTGAGACCCACATTCTCCTGAAAGAATTAAAGATCCTATGCTCTTATTAATTATTCTGATGCACCTATTTTGGGTGAAAAAATCAAGTTCCATCAAAACCACCTGGACTGTTACTTTGAGTGCTGCAGTTGCAGTTTATCAAGAGCCTTTCTGTTATTGGTTTATTTTTGGGAATTGTGTCTTGTTGATTGTAAATTGTTGGTATCATTTCTTAAGTCAATGTACTGCAAAGTAACATGTCATCGTGTATATCTATCATTTAAGGACCTTGAAATAATTACTTCTAACCTAAATGGTTTACAATCAGTGTTCAAAGATGGAGGCAAAGAAGCAAAAAAGAAGGATCCAACTACCTCACAAGTTAGGTGCTTTTTTGTACGAATGCAGTCTGGTGCATTTGTCGACAAAAATCAAGATTATGTTTTATCAGGGAAAACAGTTCGTGAAGCTAGAAGCATTTTTATGCATGTTGATACTCTGCCGAATTTGGCTAAGTATATGGCTAGGTATGTAATTCAATAACCATTTTCTTTTCTTCACTCAATCCTGCATCACACTTGCACACATGCATGCATACATGCACACATTTTTTTTTTCCCTCTCACCATAGAAGAATGCCTATGGAAAATTGAAATAATTTTCTTTATTTTGGAATTTAGATTTTCACTTATCTTATCTAAGACTGTGAAGCTTGAAATTGATTTGGCAAAGGTAACTGTTAACAAAATCGATGACATATACTGCCAGGTATTATATACAAGTTGAGTTTATAATTAAAAGCATCTTGTCTTTGTTTAGCATAGCTGTGTCTTATTGTATTTTTCTTAACTTCCAATGCTTTCTTTGAAAAAAAAAAAAAAATCCAGGACAAGGATGGTAATTATGTTCTTGATAAAGAGGGAAAACGTTGTGTACACACTGATGGAACAGGTTTTATTTCTAAGGATTTAGCTTTGAAATGCCCCAAGAATGTCAACCATGGAAACTGCCCCAACAATGAGAATATAGAGGTTGGTGATTTGGAACTTGATTTGCTATTGGGCATACATTTGGTTACTTAAAATATATTTTTTAGAAGCATTGCCATTTGCCAACTATTTGCTAGAATTTTGATTCAATAATTGTAGATGTTTGATTGGTTTTTTCTTCTGGTATTACATGTGCTCTACATTTTATTGCCTGTTTGTCTTATTGAGTGTTTGCCATAAATTTAAATCAATCTTTGTCAAGACTGTTTTAGTATTGCCATCTGATTAGTTTAGCATGCACATCCATCGCCTTGTATAGAAAAATAAAATATGCACATGAGAACTGCATGCTTTCTATTTTTGACCTAGGAAAAAAGATGTTATTCTGTTGTTCCTTGTCAATCCAGTATGACTTTTTCTGTCAAAACCTGCATAAAGTGAGCCAAGATTTGAAAACTTTAGAGGAACTTTATATGAAGGCTTCTCTGACTTTGTCTGGTAAAGAAACATTTTCCAGTAAATCTTTGCTTGAAATTGGTATTTTAAGGAGATTATTAGGAATTTCTTTTTGAAAATAGACAGGAAAAAAAAAAAATCTGATTTCAGCATGTAATATTTGTTCAAATTTTAAATAGTGTTTTAACGTTTTTTTTTTTATGTAGAAATGGAATAGCTTAAGAGAGGTCATACTATCTGCTATTTTGAAATGGGGGCTAATGTTGTTAACTGGAAACTCTTGCCCTTGAGTATTATATACAGAGAAAAAATGGTGTCTTTAAGTAGACCAGCTTGTCAGGAGTTCACAGGCAAGGTACTTTGAGTCCAAGCGCCTTGAACCCAAAGCCCAAGCCATTAGGTTCATAGGTCCTTTCAAGTTATTGGACTTTCTTCATTGGTTTCCCTAGATTCAAGTTCAAATTGGAAATCATCTCCTAAATGCTCATAATTACAAGAACTTAAACAAAATTTAACTCAGTAATGTAGCACAATATTTCATATGATTTAATACATGTCCTTAGACTTCTCCATTGATTGCTTGTTTTATGTGTGGTGCTCCTGGTTTTGCAACAGTCTAGATTATACCATGTGTATATTATTTTAATACGTTAGCTTTGGTAAAAGGACATGCAACAAAGAAGCATAACTTAATTAATCTGCCCTTTATTCTAAACTTTTTAAAAACTATTTCTAATTTGGGGTTGGCCTTAAGATTTTACTGGTGGGTCAATACTTGTTAGTTCCAAAGTCCACCAACATGTTACAAGGGGTAGTTGGCTTTATTATTATTAGGGAGTTAGTTGCTTGGCAGCACAAAGGTTTGAGCCTCTAACCTTGACCCCAAATCAATGCTTTTAAGTTAGTAGCTACCAACTCGGCCAAGCTCTTGTTGGTAGCAGTTGGCTTTATCTTCTCATGTAAAACCACACTAAAGTGTAATGTTATTATTATTAGAGAGTTAGTTGCTTGGTGGCACAAAGGTTTGAACCTCTAACCTTGACCCCAAATCAATGTTTTTAAGTTAGTAGGTACCAACTCGGCCAAGCTCATGTTGGTAGTAGTTGGCTTTATCATCTCATGTAAAACCACACTAAAGTGTAAAAGAGGCATCATGGCCTTAACCTTGCTGTTCAATGAGGGGGTTCTCCATCTTGTTGTCTTGGTTTCTATCTTCCAGTTTTTCACAGCTCCCATTGCTCTCATAAACTATTCCTTTAGCTCCTCCATGCAAAATAAATAAATAAATAAAAGAAGATGAGAAAGGCTTTAGTATAATATGGAAATCTGAGCAAAGAAAGAAACTAATGCTCCTATCCTGTGATCAGTAATAATTTGGAAAGTTACTTTAAGACAATTTGAAAGCAACATACCAGTTATATCTTGAATGGTAAAGTTGAAAGACATGAATGGCAACTATTCCTCGGGCTTATACACGCCTTCTGTGGTAAAATACTTGTGTGTTTGTTTTTGGTTTTCTTAAAACTAATATGAACAATTTTTTTGTAAAACTTGTGTCTGGGGGGGAGCGTTTTTCTGTTTTCGTGTGATCTTTCCTATCAATCACTGATCATAAAGTTTAATAAAATTTTATCTCAATGCAGGAGAAGCTTCTTGACATAATGCAACCGGATTCCCATAACATGGAACCAGTATGAGTATCTAAGAGTTTACTTTTGCTTTGCAAAATTTTCTTCATTCATAACTGTTAATTTTCATTGTTTCTTTTCTCTTTATAGCCTTTGCTGATCCAGTTCCGTCTATTTAACAATGGTTCTGCTGTCAAGGGAACCTTGCTTGTCAATAATCAGGTGTGGATTTCGATTCCTTCTCAAGAATTTGAAAACCCTGAGATTTCCAATTTCTTGTTCTTATTGTTGTTGGGTGGAGGGATCTATTTCCTTCGAAAGGTAGGCACAAAATCTTCTGACATTGACACAATACCATGCTAGTAAATTGTTGATACCATCTTGATCTGTAGGAAACTCTTTCTTCATAAAATAAATTTTTGCCTTACTTTCATTTAAAGGCAAGCTATGAAGACCATATTTTCTAAAGTGTTTTTAATCACAATTTCTGTTAATTTCATAAGCTTTAATTGACCTTTACTGCTAATCAGATGGTATTATTGTAATGGAAAAATTTTAACTCAAATTATGAGAAAAGGCACATGTAGATTCAATACAATCAGTTTGGATCATGGATTATACAATTGATTCTTTGTAAGAAGGATTCCTATCTAAATGTCCAGAGTACTTCCAACTAAATAACTCTTAGAGAGTGCTGTCTGAATTTAGGAAAAGAATTGAACACCTTGTCCCATTGGGTGTGGTAATCATTACATCATTATGTACCTTCTTTTGGGCTAAATTTAAATATTGAATATTTGTTCGTCTGCTCTGATATCTTTACTTGTTGAAACTAGCTTTGGTTCCAGCTCCAATTCCTCATTTCAATTTTCCCCTATAAGAATTCTTCGCAATCTTAATGAGTATTTGGACTGTAATTTCTTTTGCTTTTATTCTAATACATAAGTAGGCTTTTTTTTCCATTTTTCTATTTTAATGACCTACAAGTTTTGCATAACTGGACCTTAATAATAGGTTGATATCCAATATTTTCAAAAAACTGAGTGATCTTTTACATAATATAAGTAGTTTAATAAGTCATTCACAGTTCACAGAACAAGGAACTTGTCTTATATGGAGTTGTTGAAGATCCCAATGGCAGCTTGAGTGCCAGACAGATTGGCTTATTACTTTCTTTCTATCTGTTTCTATCTGTGTTTTATAATGTTCTCGTTCCCAAATTTTACAGCTCCCTGAGAAAACCATTCAGATTCGACGCTCAATGATTAAAGTTCAGGCAGATGCCAAGTCAAGCACTTGCACAAAGAACTCATTGGAAGTTGTTTCAACCAGGTATCTGCCATTGTAAACATATGTCATCTGGTATTTTGTTCTAATATATTGTTTAGAAGACGTCTTGTCAATATAACTCTACAGAGATAGAAGTGCAGACATGGCAATGAGCTGTGGAGCATAATAATGAAGACAAAATTTTAAAACTTTGGCTTGGGGCTATTCAAAATCTCCTCTTAATGATTCAAATGTATCAATCTGAACCTCCATTTCAGATTTTTCTAGATTATTTGAAGTTCCTGGCCTATTTCTGTTTTTCTTTTCCTTTCTATAATCCTGGGGCTACATGCTTTCAAGTAGTTGCACAAGATACTGAGTCCAGCCAAATTAAAAATTTCTTGCAAGCTACTTTAAGTTGGAAAATGAATGGTTAAAAGGAAAACAATCCCTTTGCAAAATACACTGTAGATGGCAGTGTTACTCTTTGTGTGTGTGTGTGTGGAAATAGTAGTTCACTTCCTGATTAATTTAGCTATTATGATGAGATGAACTCACCCAGAGAAATTGATGTGTTATCAGCTTTTAGTTTAATGCTTCTGTTTTATATATTGCAGCAATCAACCAAGAAAAGCATCTCTCTCAAAGAATTTAATTGCACTTCTTAGCTGTGGAGGGGTGCCGCAAGAATTTTTCATGGGCATATTGCAGAATGCATTGGATGATGCAAAGAGAATTTTCTCCAGTAAACGTGCAGCACTTAAAGGTTCTACCGCAGATGTTATTATTCTTTCTTTTTTCTTACTTTCCTTTTTGAAGATTAATCAAGTCTTCTCTGTTGTTTTTCCTTTAATATTATCTACGTTTTGATTGCCATTTTACTCCAATTATTTTCATTTTCTGCTTTGTCTGGATTAGCCCATGATCTGCCCAGAACTGGGCAACATCAATAATAGTATTGCCTTATTTACTCCTGCTTCTCTCATCCTATCTCCACTGGCTTCAGTAACCTCTAAGTTGATTCTTTTAACTTGATCCACTGCAGTTGCCCTTAACTGTGGTTGGATGGATGATCTCATTGCTGCAAGAATGATTTTATCTGGGATTCCCCTTAATGAATCACATTTGCAAGATCGTTTATCCATGATGTCCACGGAAGAGAAGAAAAGCATTAAAGGAGGGAAGCTCCCACTAAATGACTGTTATTATTTAATGGGTACAGCTGATCCCACTGGAATCCTGGAACCTGGTGAAGTGAGCGTTATCTTGTATGTGAGCTAGCACTCTTTTATTCTTGTCATTTTTGTTTTGATACTGACTTAATCTTCAGTACTAATTTTCAAATTTCAAATGATAAATTAAGAAATTTACATGTTAAAATACCTGATCATGCTGAATCTGTTGTCAAGGAGAAAAAAATTGAAGAGACTGGATTAGAAATCTTGATTTTTTTAGTACTAAAGAATTTTCTTTTCTCAATTATAGAAGATGTAAAGTGTCATATATATATATATATATATATATGTTGATCATCCAGTAGTTGCTATGAAAGTTTCTTTACAATACGTTTGGTTCCCTCCATTTCCCTCCCCTCCCCTCCATCTCCTTCCCTCAAACCAAACATATCATTAGTCATTTCTATGTTTATTGCAGATATGGATATTAGATTTTTTCCAATTGTCTCAGAGTTCAAAAATAAAAACCTGAAAATAATCTATTCCTTTAGGATGGTGGAACTCAAAAACTTTTTGATATAATTGATGGTGGTGTATTGTTTTTCTGATACTATTATGAACAGTGTTTTAAAAAAGGTAATTAATAATGCATTCATGGTCATAGGTTACTGAATGGAGAAACAAAGCATGCCATCACAGTTTAGTTAGACAGCCAGGCATTAAGACCTGTTTTCTGCACACGATTTTTACTTGTAGTTAAATGCCAGCCAATAATTGTCTCCAACAGCAATGGTTACCCATTATGTTGTCTTCTCTGATGATTTAATTAGGGAGAATGGACAGATTTCGGGAGAAGTACTTGTCTACCGTAATCCTGGACTGCATTGGGGAGATACACATAAGCTAAAAGCTAAATACATTGAAGAGTTGGAAGATTTTGTTGGCAACGCAAAATATGCCATATTCTTTCCATGTAAAGGTCCACGGTCCCTAACTGATGAGATGGCTGGGGGTGATCTAGATGGCGATAGGTATTTCGTTTCAAAAAACCCTCAGGTTGGCTTGACATCAATTTGTTTTGAATAGCTAAGTTTCTTTATTGGCTTTCCTTTTGTCCTCAACCTATAATTGTTTGTTATGTGGTAGCCATAACCCATAAGTATTACTTATTTTCTACTTCTTTTTTTTTTATTAATGTATTTGTCTAAAAGTATCCTTTATTTTTTGTAGAATTTATTTATTTTCCCTTTTACCACTGTTTTTACATATTAGCTTAGCATTCCCTTTGTTTACACATCCAATCATTTTCAGTATTTCAGTACATGGTCAGATAAAATATTTAGTCTTGATTTCACTCTTTCAACTGGAAACTGCTTTATGCATTTGAGATGTCTTTACAGACCATATGGTATATACCTGGTTATATATCTGCTGCCTATATTTCTGTTTGAGAAGGCTTATTTTACTTAGTGCATGAAAAGGTTACCTTTTGATTAACACTTCATTGGAATTTAAAAATCAAAATCTTGACTTATTATAATGGTCAATATGCTCAGTTTTCCAGATTGTATGTATATGACATTTGAATGAAATTTATGAAATACAAATGTCTATTTTCCAATGAACAGCTGAAAATGTTCTCATATTTTGTAGAGATGTCTTTGATTGTTGTAATTCGGAACTCCTAGTTTGGCTATTGTGGTTTCACCCTTCCATCTGGTTGCTGCTTTCAGTCTCACCCTAACTCCTTTTTTTTTCCTTTCTTTTCTTTTTGGCTTGCACCCAACTGAGGCTGCGTAAGACCTTTTCCTGTAGAATGTATCTTTTTCATGGAGCTTATACTGAATTGTCTTTGCCTACGTCTTTTAGCCTGTTTACCTTGGAGGTTTTCAACTGGGTTCTCATTTGAGAATTCTAACAATGCCAGCTATATACTAAAAATCTATTTGATGCTAAATCCACTCTTGATTTTATCTAAAATTAACATAATCTTGATGTAAATGAAGTTAACCACCTATTGCTGCACTCTCTTCAGTTATTGCATTATTTTAAGGATAGTGAACGTTGGACTCCTAGTTCTTCAACCCTCAATGTCAATGTCTCTGGTAAAATGCCAAGTGAACTTTCAGATCGTGAGTTGGAGGTTGAGCTGTTCAAGCTGTTCTTGAGAATTAGGTTTCATCCGAGGTAATCATTTGATTTCTTTGGTATTACTCACTTGAAATTAATGGTTATGGACTCAGTTGTCCTTGAATTATGTTGTGGCAATATTTTTTATGTTGAATTACTGATTCATAGAATGATTACGAATCTGTCTAGACTAGTAATATCAAACACCCATTTTTTACATCACTATGCAACTCTTCAGAACAATTTATTACAAAATTGTAAATTCATCTATAGAATTGTGTAAGAATTTTTTTTTTTTTTTTTTTTAAGTTGGTTCCCACTCTTATATGATATACGTAGCTTATGTCTGAGTCTTGTCTATTTGTACTGAATAGAATATTTTCTGCTAAAGGATGTTCCAAATGTTAAGAGCTTGAGTCTTCAAGTTAGAGGTCTTTGATCCAAACCCTTGGGTGGATGGTTAGGGGTTTCAGAAAGGGAGGGGCTAGCCCTGTTGTATTGTTGTATAGTGGATTATCAAAAGAACAAAAAAATTATTAGATCAAAAATGTCTAATAGGGTTTATAATTGTCATGTTCCAATAACTAATCCTCAAATACTCATCCATCATTCATTAACAACAGCAATCTAGCTATGGTTCTCATCGTCTATAGTTTATGTAGGAGTGTTAAATATATAAAAAATCAAATATCTTCTCCACTGCATAAATGGTTCTAATTCTAAAGTGCTTTTGGCTGCTTTCAGTTTCAGTGCTGGTGTGGCGGCTTATAGCTGGATGGCCATCATGGATCGGTTCCTTTCACTTCAAGATAATGGCTTTGGTGAGAAAGCTGCCATGAAGAAAAATATGCTTCGCTTAATTAATATTTACTATGATGCTTTGGATGCACCAAAACGAGGTGAAATAGAGGTAAGATAAATTGCTTAATTTTTCCATTTTCATAGTATGCAAGAGTTAGCCTATAATGGACATGTTTTATGTTTAGAGCGTCAATTATTGCATTAGTGCCAATACATTAGGCATTGTCTGTAGAACTGTTTAATTTTGAAAATCATTATATTACTTTTTAATTTTTTTTTTTTTTTTTTTTTAATTTTGGGCTACAGAATGGGAGGTAAGCCTCTCTCATCCCTTTAACTCACCCCACCCCATACCCTGTAACTCAAACCTATGATCTCTTATCTCCACTGCAAGTTGTTGGCATTATAGGTACTGAGTCTAGCAAGACCCAAGCTCATCAATGAAATTGTGCAAAATACCTTCTTTCTAGATTATAGGGTTAGGTTTTGTTATTAACAAATTAGTTTTCATACACGTGGGCACACATATGGCTGGAAAACAAGAGGTATTAGGTTGGACTGGGACTGGGAATCTGGGATTGAGACAGGCTCACTACATGGTACATAGTCGAGCCAATCTTAGTCTTGCCTGGGATTGTTTGATTGAATTTAAATTTATTTTTTAAAATTATTTTAAATTATGAAAATAAAATAAATCATGGTCTTTCCTGGGATGCTTGTGGTGCAATGGCTTAAAGATCCTTTTCTTGGTCTATAGTAAATATTAATTATATTCCAAAATGTGAAAGCAGCTGTTTCAGTTCATGGTAATTATTTTGTTCCTGTAAATGGGGAATGAGAAATGCAGCTTTCTGCTCAGCTTGAATTAGTATTAGTGTTCATAAATAATAAATACAGAATATGTGACTTGTAGAGCTCTTTTTCTTTTTTTTTTTTTCTTTTTTTGTAAATAGAATAATTAAGAGCAATTGGTATTTGGAATACTTAGCCTTTTCCCACTGCCAAACAGATTGAAGTTCCAAAAGAACTGAAGGCAGATGTATTCCCACATCATATGGGGAAAACGGATTCTTTCAAATCTACATCCATCTTGGGAAGAATCTTTGATCAGGTGGGATCACACAGGGAAGAAGAATCCTCAAAGAAAGGTAAAGAAATCAAAGTTTAAAACATCAGCAGTCATAAGATTCTGTACTGTTGCAGCCACTTACTGATGTTCTATTTTTTATGTCATCGGAGAAAACATAAAGGAGCACAAGCAATAAAGTTAAAACTTTATCTTTTTATTCTATCCAGAAGTTCAGAAACTTCCCTGTTTCGAGGTTTATACTCCAGAAGTAGAAGCATTCAAAATGAAGTGGAACGAACTTTATAAGCAGTATCGGGAAGATATGAGTAATGCTTTGCAGTTTAATGTTGAACGAGATCAGAAGCAGGAGGCTGCTGATTTGGTTATTAGCAAATATAAGCAGGTAATAAAAGCTTCCCTCCCTTCTTTCATAGATTACCCAATCCTTTTTCCTGTTTGGACATGCTGATTTTTTTGTTCATGGTCCTTGTGGCTTAGATACTATATGATGCTGCTGAGTTTGAACAAAGTGAAAGGCCTTTGAAGGACATCTATGATGAGGCCTTAGCCATTTATAATGTTGTATATGACTATGTTATTGAATGTATCGAAAAGGACCGTGCTACTGATGATGGAGACGTTGGTGCTGCTCAAAGTAACAATAGAGATCATGTTGGAAAATGCGCGTTTGTGTGGAAAGTTGCTGGTCCAGCATTATGCAAATTCTACGCCACTGAATTGGGTGAAAAACCCATATGTTGTGTACCCTCGGTTCTAAAGGAGCTTTTCAGTTGAGGAAGTTGTCTGTTGTTGTATGTTATGATGCACAGTTTGGTGTTAAAAGAAAATGTACATATTATGAAAGGAAAGCCACAAGTACTGATGCTGTGCAGAAATCAAGCAAGGAAAACAGGTAAAATCAAGTGAGGCAGTAACTCAAGCTGAGGGTCACTGTAGCAGTAACGTTAACATTCAGCAACCTTTGGCTAAACCATACAATCTAAAACTTGTATCTGTATATACATGTATTGCTCTAACTAATGAACTACTGTATCTGTCTCAATTGAATACTACCAGTATTGTTTTCAGCTTCTTTGCTCTTTAAAACTCCTCACACACACACATATAAAATTTTCAGAAAGTGCCACGCATGTGTTGTTGTATGTCATCTTTTAAAGCGATTCGGAACAACATCGCCCCCATGATCACTTCGGGTCCGTAGCAACCCTGACCCCATTAGGGGGTTGTAGGTGAGACTAGCCAACACTTTTTGCACTCTGCACTTTGCACTAGCAATATATCACAACTATTGAATAGAGGCTAGTCTCATTTAAATAGTTTTTTTTTTATTTAATAATTAAGGTGTCTCTGGATTAATTTGTGTCAAGATTAATCTTTTTTTAGTTTAATTAAAATTAAGCTATCTATGTTGAATTAAGGATTTCATGAGAAATTATCTCTTCATTAACTTCCTCAAAAAATCAAATCTTGATCAATGAGGTGAAACGTAAATTCTTATTAACTAAATCACAATTTTTTGAAATAAAAAGTTACTTTTTATCCAATAAATTACTTTCGCTCAAATTGCACAATCAATTTCTATTTTTCACGTATTACATAAATTATATCCTTTCAAAAATGTATGTGTCTCTACAGGTATCCATATTCCATAATTCATTTACCTTTCAAGTTGTAACACTATAATTTCATTTTTCTTGTTAATGTCCTATGGGCAGCAGCCAATGCCAAACAGGGGAATTTTTGTACTCGGGCTTGATCATTGGGCCTGACCCAAATCCAAATCAAACCAAGGTTAAGCAAAGCCCAAAGTTCAGTAGCAACCAAGCATAAAAAGTAGGTTGCAAGTACAACTTGAAGTTGAACTTTCATTTTTTTGAGTTTTAGAGATAATTTCCTTGTCTTTTCTTTTTTTGCTTTTTTGGCCATCTCTTCTTTTGGATAACCCACACCATTTCCTTCAGATATGTCAGCAAGATGCTATACGATATGGTTCTTACCC